ATATATATATATATATATATATATATATATATATTCTCTAACGTTACATAGATGGAGAGGGACTCTCATGCGCCATTTAAAAGACAAGCAAAGTATAGGGGATTCTTGCATCATGTCAGTCAAAAGTTGACGCAGACGTAATAGGTGCGTTAGAAAATAGATGGAGTAGGGGGTCCCGTGCGTCATTGATTCACGTTTTGTCCATTTACAAAATGTCTGTCCCCCTGCACCATTTAACAATTCTGTCACATGGCAGAAATCACCTAAAATGAAAAAAAAATTAATTTATTTCATGTATTTTTTTCTTTTAATTTATTTTGGCCAAAAAGTTGAGTGTATTGTCTATACCATATTATTTGGCCTCTTTGTCTCCTATTACATGTATTACTCTCGAAGTGCTATTGTCATTGTGCACTGCCACCAAAGGCAGTGATACCACTATTTTTTACCCTCTTTTACAGTTCTCTCTCCTTCTTCTTCTACACCTCTTCTATGGATTTGGCTTTTTATTCCATGTTTGACAAAAAGGAAGATGACACATCACGACCTAATGTAAAGGCAACCATCTACTAGGAATGATAATGTGGGTTGAACCTAATGGGTCAACTTACTAACCCACCTATTTTTAATATGTTGGGTTGAATAGGTAAACCTATATTACCCACCAACCTACTAACTTAGTGGATTAACCCATCAATTCTCTTTATTTTGTTTTATACTCTTAAAAGATAATTTTATAGTGAATTTATGTTGAATTGGTGCTTTAATTTTGTAACTTAACTTCTTTTTTTAGGTAATTAGTTTCATTTTATATGAAATAAAAATATATTATTTTAATCACATATTTTTTACAAGTATATTTTCATGCATAGTCTTTTTTTTAATAGAAATATGTTTTACTTTGGTCATTTGCATGAATAAGTATAACTCTTTAATCAATTTTACAAATAATAATAAAATTATAGGTTGAAATGATAATGTATATTGAAATATTTTAATTGATATTAAAAAAACTAGATGGGTTGAAGACAAGTCAATTTTTTAACCCATCAATTCATTAAATTGGGTCCACCTGCTAATCCACCATTAAGTGAGATGAGTTACATTTTTCAACCCATTTTTCTTTGGTGGTCCAACCCACCCCACCTTGCTTCTTTGGAGGGTCAATTCACCCTATCCCACTTTAGCTAGATTAACCCAATTTGACACCCCCCTAACAACAATATAGCTAGATTAACCCAATTTGACACCCCCCTAACAACAATATAGAGGCTTGCAACTCAACATAAAGGAAGCAAGTGATTAAACTTGACGATGACACGTGATTCAACACAAAAGGCATGATTCAACTCAACCAAGTTCAATACAAGTCTTTAGTGACACTAATTTTCTCGATCATGTTTGATCTATGTTATAGTGATTGTAGATATAGTTGCAATGATGATGACAATGAATATGACAGTACTTTGATAATTATTACATCTATTTTTTGTGGTCGGTGATGCACTAATTTAAAAGGTTAGGAAAAGATAATAGAAAATAATGTTAATTATAATATATAGAAATAATAATAATTTGCATCCATTTTAATCTAAAGGCTCATAATTGTAATTTACGGAGGACCACCCATGAAGGTGATCAACCTTAAAACTTGTCAAATATTTTTTACCTTTCATTTTATAATATTTTTCTACTATTTTATGTTATTATTGTAGTAATATTTTTTTAGATTACAACACATGGTTAATTTCTATTTTCTTTTATATTTCATCATTTTGTTAGTACTATTGTTTATCGGTAGTGGATTATACAGTATTAATTATTTTTGAAGTTTGAAGCAATTGCAAATTAATGTGTATAGAGCAATTAAGTTATAATAGTTCCGAAAGAGAAAAGATAGAGAGAGAAGTGTAGGTTTATTACAAAATCATATCTCAAAACCACCACTTGAAGTTGAGAGATTTACAATGGGATGATGATGACAACACAGAAACATTACCTACCCATCCTTTGCAGGCTTATAGGAACAACAAGAAGCCCATATTGATTTTCATTCAAGCATTGATACAATAGGCGTAGCATTAAGAAAGAGAAAGAGAAAGAGAAAGAGAAAAGAAAAAAATAAAGGGGATTGATTGAGATGAAGAGGAGGATGGATGTGGGGCCTAAAACGACCTTGGCTTTGCAACAATGGTGGAGTGCTTGAGTATGTGCAAGCTGAACTGGCCTCCTTTTTCACTAGTGTCGATCTTGTTGAGGCCAGGAGGAGGCAAGAGGTGGAAGTTTTGGACCAAACGGCCCAAAGTGATGCCGAGAATGGGCAAAGCGAGAATGATTCCGGGGCAGCTCCTTCTGCCAACGCCGAAGGGAAGGTACCTGAAGTCGTTGCCATTGGCCTCCACATGGGCCTCCTCCTCGAAGAACCTCTCGGGCCTGAACTCCTCGGGCCTCTTCCAGTTGGCGGGGTTGTTGGCCAGCCACCATGCGTTCACCAGGATTTTGCTCTCCGCTGGGATGTCGTAGCCCCCCAGCTTTGCGTCGTGCAGGTTCATGTGGGGCACCAGCAGAGGGATTGCCATTCTCAGCCTTAGAGTTTCCTTTACCACTGCTTGCAGGTATGGCAGCTTCTGCAGGTCTGCCTCTGTCACTTCCTGCCCTGCTCCTACCACTCTCTCTATCTCTTCCCTTACTTTCTCTTGAATCTCTGGGTGGTTCACTAGCTCAGCAATGCCCCACTCAATTGACCATAGAGTTGTCTCAATTGCTGTTACACAAAACATGTCAAAATTATTCCATCTTAATCATACTTTCCGCAAAATAATTCAACACCCCACGTTTCTTCTTCTTTTCTTACCTTCTAATCTAAACAAAATAATGTTGGCGGGGGTTTCTCCACCAACCAAATTTAGTCGCCATCGTTACCTACTACTGCCAGAGACTCAGTGATCACCCAACTCATTTCAATCTCATTTTCACTCTATTATTTTTAATAATAAAAAAATCCCAATTTAATACCTTCTAATTATTTAGAAAAGTCATCTAACTTTTTGTAGTAAGAAGAGTCAATATTAGTTTCTCTGAATCTCACTTTAAAAATATAAATATATATATATATATATATATATATATATATATATTCTCTATATCTAAATGCTTATTCTTTAAATAATAATTAT